TGATGAAGGTGGAGGATGATGAAGATCGGAGATGATGGGTAAAAATGGTGATTAGAGGATGATGGAAGAAAAAGAGGAGCAAGGTTAAATTTGTAATTTTATTCTTGGTTTATACAGAAAAAACTTTATTTTATAGAATGTGCACCCACCGGTGTTGAACCGGTGGGTGTACCAATCTTTATCCAAATATTATTTAGTTTTTAATGTAATCTTTTATTTTTTTAATAAAATGTATATTTCTCTTTTAAAATAAAAAATAAAAAAATTAATCTATAATCAATGCATTATAAGGTATAATAAAACTTCTCAATTGTACATGAAGAAGAAGAAAATAAAAAGGTTACAAAAATTAAAACTATACAAATTATTATTATACTATGCATTACAATCATATGCTTTTACTCTTCATAAATTTTAGGGATCTATTCATCTTCATTTTAACGAATTACATTATATTATGTATGTAATAAAAACAAATAATGATAAAATAATTGAGAATATAAAGATAAGAGTAGAAGACAAAGAATATGAGAAGATATAATGGTTGAACTCATATTATTAAATAGATTTATTTACATAGTTTATTATTTTATAATTAAAATTAAATGATAAATTTTAGGGCCTAATTAGTGTTTGAGGATACTAGTTTGCAAGATCTGTTTTTGTTCATAGCCTTAATTTAGGTTTTTTCATCCTTGTTCATATCTTTCCTCAAAGATTTCAACTTAGGTTAGTTTTTAAGTATTTGGAAGCAATTCAGCCTTCAAAACAGGTCTGCCCTGTTGATTTGGTTAGTTCATCTTTAAATTCATGCAAAAGTTTAATAATTTGATCTCGTGTATGCAGTTCAAGAGAGCTGTTGATAAATGTTACCTTTGGCTAGTTTCGAAAATCAACACAGACTCTTCATTTTCCATTCCTTTTCAACACTGACACTACATTTGACAACCATTCTGCATACCTGCATGTTCGAATGAATCCAGCTTTTATCAACTGCTAAATTTCTTCTTTTACCTTCAAGGTGACCTCTACAGACATGCGTTTGGGCTGCTGTTTATATGGTCTGAATCCTTCTGCATGTTCCACCAATTTTTTTTAGGTGTAAACAGATACTATTCATCTAAATTATCTTTAGTCACTATTGAGAAATTAATTGTTTTGATTTATTATTTGTATTATATAATTATATAATAAATAATAAATAATAAATAAAAATATATTATATATTATTATATATTATATATGTATATATAAATGCATACCCTGTTTAATGCATAGGATAGTATTATATATGAGATTAGTGTTTATCCGCCTTACCTTTAAAAAATTAAGAGGAAAAAGAACAAAAATCACCTTAATGCATGTTTTAAAATTTGGGTAGTTTAATTTTTTTTTTAATAAAAATTTATTGAAACGATGTAGTTTTGGGATGATTTTCCTCATAATCTTTAGGAGATAAGGCCGATAAATATTATTTTCTAATATATATAGATTAATTAGTTAATTAGCTTAATCAAAGGAATCCTGGTTCATTCACAGATGTACCTTTATTGGCCCATGAGAAAACGAATGTTACTGGGCTTGGTCCATTTCATTTAAATTAGTTTTTTGTTTTTCATAGGCCCAACCAAAAAAAGCACTTGGGCCTGACCTAAGACAAAAAAAGGATCCAATAGAGCAATCGGGATACTGAGTCCGCCGACGGCCATGACCCATTTACAGATTCCGGTGCCGGCTGGAAATTCTGTCACATGCATCTTTGGCTAATCCAAATGGCTTTTTCTTTGGGGGGACACAGTTCAGTGGTTGGCTTCAAGAATACGAAGGGCTTACTTTTGCAACATTTAGAGGGGCTGATCATGCAGTGCCCTGCTTCAAACCAAGCAGCTCACTTGCATTCTTCAAATCCTTTCTCCTTGGAAAATCTCCACCATCATCTCAATCATCCGTTTACTTAACTGATCCTCAAGGATTGTGCTTCCATATGTAATAGGGTCTTATGTGAGTGTTGTTCTCCCATCGAAAACGGTTTCCTTAACTTACTGTGTTTGCTTATGGAAATCATAGGAATTTTCTGTATGTGGTGTCTTAGAATACATTCTAGACTTGGAAAATAAGAGGAGGCAATAAAACAGTTGGTCTGTCTAATACCACTTTTTGCAAGACATACACTTTAGCGTGGAGACATTGAGCAGCCCATCACATGTTTCAACATCATATTGTAACCAAAAGATTAGTTCAATAATTACAAGGTCTTAATATATTTAAGTCATTCTTTCTTTTTATATTTCTTCAATGTGGAACTCAAATTCTTCACACTCCCAAGGAACAACATACTTCAACACAATCATCCCTTGAAAGGAGAAGGTGAACACTTCACTAGAGTCTTTGTTCAGGATTTCCATTTTTCTTATTGCATAGATTTTGAAGAAAACAAGGGTACATGACATTCATTGAGAATATTATTGCACAAGAGATATACTACTTTTGCAATGTTACACCTAGTAAATACTGTTTCAAACTAAAGACAGTCTAAATTTTGGTGGCATGAACAAAGTATCACATCTACGCCTTGATATTGGGGAGAAAGGACTAGCTATGACTCTCCTGCTGTGATATTTGGAGTGCTGACCAAATTCAGAGTTGATTATTCTATGTTCCTTTGAACCAGAATAAGAAAGCAAGAGGCTTCTTAATTTGTCAATACCTTTGATGTTCCCAACAAGTAGAGGACTACAGATTGCTTGTTGAATGCCTTTAAGCATTTCTGTGTCCTCTTTATCATATCGGTTGCTTGAATGGAAAAACATCGCAAATACTTTCAGGCGTGATAGATGAAGCTGCTTGCAATGTTTTGGCAGATCACTCAAGCCATCAATGACAGCATGTTGGAGTAATTCTTTCTTCTTCGTCTCTAGCACTCCTTTCACATAAGCAATTGAGTCTTCAATATCTGCCTTGGGATTTTCATTCAAATATAGCAGCACAGTGTTCAATTTTCCTTGCTCTTCTTCCTCCTGTTATAGCAAATGATAATATCATTTTCTAAAGAAAAACGAAAATTAGAAACGGAACAATCTACAACGAATTTCCATTATCTTTTACCTGGTATCTTTGAATGTCATTCGACGAGCGAGTTATGAACATGAGCAATTTGGTGGGTGTCTCATATTGGTTTGGTTGGAGTTTGTGATTCCGAATACTTGGAGTCAAGAAACAAGAAATTGGAAGAACCATTGTATGTGCAACAGATGTCATACCCATTGCAAGGTATTCTTCCATTGATGGCACGCATTGACTCCGACTCCATTTAGCTTCCACCAGCCATGAAACAAATGTTTCATACCACTTCACATCCCAACAACAAGAAGAGACTGTTTCTTACACATTCCTTCAAAAGACAAGAAACTACAACAAGTTAAGGGTTTATAAACTTACTCGGTGTTGCAGATGGTTTGTTATACCTGATCCTTGACTATGGAGGTGTTTTGCTGCAATTGCTTTCTCAAGATCATCAAGGATATCAAAGATAGTTTTGCAATGCCCATTCAGGCTCTTGCCATCCCATCTGTCCATACACAATGTTTTAAGAATTTTGAGAGGGTTTCATGATAGCCCTAACCTCTTGCGACAACGTTCAGTTTGTTAAGTATTGCCTTTGAATTGCAGAGATGAGGGTGTTGAGGTCATGTAGCAAACAGTAAGAATCAAAAAATCATTAGCAATTGTAATGAGAATTGCACTCTTTGCAGCCATCATCCTTAATGCAGAGTTGTAAGGCAAAGAAATGCAGGCTGCTGTGGCAAAGTAACAATATGTTGTTTTCTCTCTGGCAAATCCCGAATTGACAAGACCCCATTTCCTAGACCACCTTATCAGTTCCTCCAGTTCTGTCCTGCAAATTGATTGTTGAAACTCATAACCCTTAGCTGCAAGTTTCTTTAGCTTCTCGTTTCGAAAGCTAGACAATCTGGCTAGTTCAATTCCAAAAATTTTATTTGTTGGTTCATTTGATAAAAAAAAATGTTTCATACAATTTGAATTGTTCAAAACTGATTATCAAATGGGGTCGTTCTTAATTTTAATGTTGGAACTGATCCTCCCCATTCAATAGTCATGTCTTTTGAAGTTTGACGTAATTTAAATTGAACCAACTTATTTGAGACTAGGAGCCTTAATACCTATGGAAGGAAGTCTTTCAAGCCCACAATGAATTTATATCTTTGTCTTCAATCCACATTCTGTGTTCCAAGTGATCCAGTCGAGCAATCCTTGGAACAGTTAGCTCATGCTTGATCTATGCAACATTTAATTTGCAAGTTCAAAAATCTTATGCCCTCTATAAAATCATTATTTTTTAATTTTTTTGGAAATAATGAAAGTAATTAACTAGTTCATACACACACATATATATATATATTATAAATACCATCGTTTTCAAGAAAGACCGCTCTCCATATCTTGCCTCTTCAAGTTCGTATTCTCCTGGAAACATAAGATCTGTGGCTCTATGAACATTCAACATTACACTTGAGAAGAATTCAAAATTCTTTTCTATATGATTTCTGATGAGTTGAAATTGTATACATATTAATATGGAATTGTTGTTTTGATATTATTGATATTTGAATGAGTTTTATAAGATTTTATCGAGTTTTATGAGACTTTATATGATTTTCATTCTTTGTGCAGAAAAAGACTTGAATGCATAAAATAAGAGCTTTTAAGATTTATTGAACATCTTCTAAAAGTTGAGGGACTGAATTGCAAGAAGAAGGGTGGCCATTTTGGGACCTAAATGAATGAATTTTGAGTTTTGGGATCTAAGTGCTCATTGTACAAAATCTGGAGGACCAGAGCTGCTATTTTTTTACCATTAAAGAAATTACAAAAGGAGGCCAAAAACCCGACACGGGTGTACTGTCGACACGTAACCGGGGTGTCGACACCATGCGTTAAATGTCCATAATCAGCTTCTGTTTCCTATTTTGTGTCAACACGTACTCCGAAGTGTCAGTACCACGCGATCAGCATCCAAAATTCAGTTTCTTATTTCTGTTTCAAATCCTACTTTTATTTCAATTAAGGTTTCTAAAATTTTATAAATACTCATTCAAATTCAGAATTAATGGAGTTTTGAGAGGCTAGTGGCAGCCCTTTTTTGGACATTATTGGAGATCAAGATTGAGGTTTCATCAACAATAGAAGATCAATGAGTTCGATTTCCTCAAATTGGATTTTGTTTTTCATTGGGTTTTTATCTATTGTTTGATATTTGAATATTCATAATTTTGATTTCATATTTTATTATTTTTATTATGAACTGATTTATTCTACTAGAACTACGATGTAACCTAATTAATTCAATATGGATTTAATGATTTTATGCTTTCAATTAAAGTTATTTGCATGAAGAGTTTATATTATTGAACTTAATGCATTGGAAGTCTGATCACTTTTCAATTGATTTAGTGATTTATGCATGAATTTGAGAAAGAATTGCGTAGATTAGACCAATAATAATATAAACCATGTGCTAGACTATGAAATCGAAAGGTAATTAACTCACATGTGGTAGTAAAGGAAGAGAAGAGAGTTAAAAGCTCTCCCTTCTTAAGCGAGAGGTTTCTATAGAATTTAATGTTCATAAGTTTGTTTAAAATCATATAGAGATATGATTAATTTAATAAATAAGTGAATGATTAACTTGACTTGAGAAAACTAGTTAATTAATTTAGGAAAATCCGTCATCACATGCAATAACACTCAATAAATTGGTTTTGAAATTATATTAATCTAGAATTTATATTGATTAATTATGGTGAAATCAATGCCTTAGTACCTCCTATCTTGGTTAGGTTTATTTATCATTTTCTTTTTATTATTTTTAATTAAGGTTTCTTCCTATTTGATTGTTCAAATAAATTTAGATTAATTATTTTGGTACTTAATTAGGCACAATCCTCGTGGGTTCGACACTCTTTCATCATTATACTACTTGGAGCGACTAGTACACTTATTAGGGTGATTTTAGTGCAACAATCTGCAAACTTTTTCATCGTTTGAAAACCAACAGCCAATAGAAGCTCCCTGCACATTGACATGTTAATTAATTCAACTATTTAAAGTACATACTAATTTTTTTTCAACAAAATATACTTTCCATCCAAAAATGCCTTTTTTTTTTTCCTAATTTGTTTATTAAAAGTTATCTTTTTTCATCCTAAAGAATTAAACAATATAAAAAGATGGAACATGTAATTTAGTACTTAGAAGTTGAAATTATTAACTAAATTGAAGAATCGAACAATTTTATAAATTAAAATTTTTGTTAATCCAATCACTTTCTAAACTAAATGATAAAAATTTAAAAATAAAATTCTAAAACAATAATTAGAAAACTTAAAGGGAAAATATCTTTGAATTTGAATTTAATTAAGAGTTTGGACGTGTAGAGTAAGAGTAGAAGTATCTCTTGTATTTGAAATTAATAAACACTCTTTATTTGGTCGATTAAAAAAAGGACAATGTTATGTGTACCCTCCCTTTTTTCACACTCCATCACACACTCACACCCCTCATTACAAACACTCACTCTCCGTTAAGCACCCAACCCAACCCTTTCTTTCTCTCTCTCCTTTCCTTTCTCCTTCTTATTGTGCACCATCCTCCTTGCTAATCAAAACCATCAGAATCCCTCTGGTTGATGAACTGGAAACATACAAAGAAATCACAAGAATCATCAGCCTCTTGAGCTCAAAAAACATTTCGATTCAAGTTGCAACCTTCGATTGCATACTGGGAATTACATATCATGGGAGAAAAAGAAGTGATTGAGAACATGCTTCGAGTTGGGTTCCTTCGATTGCAGATTCCCCCCTTGTTCCTCTTTTCTCTTTTTTTTTTTTTTTTTTTTTTCGGGTTCCCCTTTAGAGCTCGAGGTGAGAACCTGTTCTAGGTTCTCATGGGTTTTCTTGGAGAACCCATTCTGCGTTCTCACGGGTTCTCCTTCAACAAATCAAAGAGGGGGGAAGAGAAGAAGAGGGAGAAGAGGGAAAGAAGAAGAAAAAGAAAGGAGGAGGGAAAAGAAGGAAGAAGGTTGAAAATCAAAGAGCGATGCTGGGTGAAGAGGATGAAATTTTAGGTTTCATTAGGGCAATTGCAGGTTTGGGAGTTAACGGAACGGAAAGTAATGCAGACTAACGAAGCCTAAGTGGGTGTAACGAGGTGTGTGACGGAAGTGTGTACGTAGCATTATCCTTAAAAAAATTAAGAGCCTTGATGCACATTACATTTATTTAGTTTATAATATTTTCATCTTTTATAAAATGTTTATTTAAGTTTTAATATTTGGTGATTATAATTAAAAAATATTATAAATTGTATTTGTCTTGAGTTATTAAATATGAAAAATTATAAATAGTTAGATGAGAATAACTTGAAATTTTTCATAAATATAATATTTAAAAACTTAAAATGATAATAATATGTACTAAAATTTAAAATTTTCAAAAGTTGTGGGGAACGGCCGCCACCCCTCCCTTTGCCCCTGTGCGTGCGTGCGTGCATACATATTTTTAGGAACCATACATGGAGATACTGTGTAACCATGCATACGGAGAAGCCGAAATGCTAAAGAACCCTTATGTAGCTGAGTTGCACTTGTACTTCTTGATCCTCCCTTGGATTCTTGATTGTGATAATTCCTATTTAATTCAAATGATTTTCTTTATAACAAAAAGGCTATTACTTATATATCTTTTATATATAATTTTTGTGTTTGTAATTTCTTTCCCATACCTGTGATATGGGCCAAAATATGGTCTATTTCTTGAGTGAAATGGTCGGCTAACCCTAATCTTTGAAGTTGATTTACCATGCAAAGTTGTACTAGGTCTTCATCCATAGGATATTTTGGTGGAACTGCATACAAGTTAACTAATTAACATTTAATTTTCGGTAAAAAAAAATTAAAATTAAAAAATTGCATGGATTAATTTTTTTTGACAGAGTAAAATGTCGAGGATGGTGAAAAATAAAGAAAAAATAAACCAAATTCTATTCATTTTAGTTGGAGCACCTCTAACTTTATACTAGAGATTACCCTCCGAAATGAAAGTATAGTTTGAGGATATGGGCCCCAAAAGATGCATGCATTAATTGCTATAGAAAATTTTGCTGACCTCCATTAGGGCTCCTTTGAACGAGAGCTTGCAAATAAGCTAAGCACTCTCTCTCTTCCGTAGCCATTAATGCTCGAGCTGTAGCTACGGGGGAGTCGAATAACGAGCCATCCAAACTTAAGTGCTTGGTCAAGCTTTCTTTAATGAGATTATCATCAGCTGGTGTTAGGATTTCAAGATATGATAGCAATGGAGGACATTGTTCTCCAACCGGCCAGTTCCTCCCTGTGTTAT